AGACCCTGGAGCAGATCAAAGAGGTCTTTGCTCTCGGCGCCATGATCGATCCAGAGACTCTAAAGGCAGCAGGGAGCTTCCAGGATGCAGCCGCATGTGCAATCACACGCCTTTACAAGAGGCGCACATGCAACGACCCAACGGATCTATCCTGGCCGTGGCTGTTTCGATGGTTCATGCGAGCTGGGGGGTTCGAGGCCTGGTCGACCGACGATGTTATTGAATTCTTCGACGAGTTTATGAGCAGTGAAGTGGGCAGATTTGAGGAGTTCAAAGGCAAGCTTTCCAAGCGCATCTGCCGCGCCGCAATTGAGGATTGTCGCTGTGGGCACTGACCACTCTACTGACGCTTGGCGCGGTCGGCGGGGCCTGCCACTGGGGTTGAGCAGGTTGCACTGCAGAGCGGGCCATCACCTCTGCCACCCAGTTCGGGTTCGATTGCTGAATGAGAAAGGAATGCACGAGTCAACACCAAGTCCATTGACTCTTCCCATATGCCAGCTCTCGAAATGCATGGGTGCAAACGAATGAGCGTGCTCAATGATAGCATCTCACACAAATAGTCGGACAGCGACTGAAACTCACGCTTGCTCGCCATGCATCAAATGGCTCGATGCTGACTGGCTTTGACCTGACGCTCTCTTGAACCTCCTGCATGACACGGATTGCCCAATTATTCGTCAATCGTGAATCACCCGGACTATATCGACGCTTTGTGGATGCCGGTGAGAAGGGGCATGGTGATTCTGGGAAGTGGCACTTGTGGCCTGGCAATACTTCGTGTCATCGTGGGATGGAGGCATGAGGCAGAAAGTAACTTTGCATGGCGAATAACTTACCTCTGCTGTCGGAAGGTGAATCAGGGGCCGCCTGCGTGAGCTGCTCAGGGCGCCGGGATCGTGTGTGGGCCACCCCGGGTTGCTCTCCACGCCCCCGATCATCAGTTGTGTCGCTGCATCGCACCAAAGGAATCCCTCAACCAATCGTGCTCAGAATGGCATGCCCTTCAAGCCAGACTCGCGCATTCAAAGTCTAATCGTGTTCAGAATGGCAAGCCTTCAGGTCAAACCCATGCACTCGCTGTCCTATCGGCAAAGCCAATTGAGAGCCTCTTCTTGCCAACAAATGCCAGAGATTTGCCACCATACCTATCAGAGCCCTGCTCTTTGGTGCCGAAGAGTAGAAGACCTTCTCCGACCCATACTCGTAGGCTGACAATCCTGCGCGGGCAGAAGGCTGGGGGGTAAGAGACGAGAGACCTGCCACGATTTCAGCGGTCCTGCGAACATTCGGGATCTTACAAAGTAAAGGCTCGCAGCGCGGCAAAGGCTCACACCGTTGCGCAGGGCCCGGCCATACCCTGCAGGATGTACCAGGAAACGCCCATTAGATTCTATAGAAAGTAATACAGCGTTTCTTGGTACATGCCCACTGTGCACTGGATTGTCGGATCATGCGCTTGATGGGCAAGGCCGGCCATACCCTGCAAGATGTACCAAGAAAAGCCCCTTAGATTCTTAAGAAAGTAATACAGCATTTCCTGGTACACGGCCCTTCACTCTGCAAAGCCTCACACCGTTTTTGGGGGCGGCCATACCCCACAGGATGTTCGAGACCCCCCAGCCATACCCTGCAACTTGAAAGCGTACCAGAAAACGCCCATTTGATTCTTAAGAAGTAATACACACTTTCTTGGTACAAATCCCGGCACTCTGCAAAGCCTCACACCGTGTTGGAGTGGCCCCGACCATACCTGCCAAGTTTCTATCAGAAAAGGCCAAGCATCTGACCCGGCTTTTGACGTCTGAGAGGGAAGACGTGGCAGTTCCCCAGCACTGCCAAATCCTACCACGAGATGGACACATACCAGTACGTCGCTAAAAAGAAGGTTCGTTGCTCACCTTGGAATCCGCTCCTCGCCAGCACGCTCACCGTGGCAGCGGGCTGAACCCCAAACCTGGTGCTCCCGCTTGAAAGGGCGCACAGGCCCTCTGCGCGACGGAGGACGAGAGGCTGCCCGGGCTGCGCATCGTCACTGGCGGCGTGCGGATGGCAGGCTGCGCCACGACCGCAGTCCGACTTGGAGTCGCTGGCGATCGCACGGGGGACGGTTCTGGGGTTGTGGCGGGCGCCGCGGTCAGCGCACACGGACTCTGCAAAAAGGCGATCAATGAGTCAGAACAGTGCACTGGGGATGTCGCAATTGACCTGCCAGGTACCCTCGGATTCGTGCGACAGGTCAAGGGCATGCACTCTGCCCTGGCCATACCCTTCAAGATCTGTGTACCAAGAAACACCCAGTAAGATTCTTAAGAAGTAATAGGTTGTTTCTTGGTACATGTCCGTGATGAGCTGCAAAGTCGACGTACCACCAAAAACGCTCTTCCTTCCACTGCTTTTGGGGCACGGCTTTAAACAAACCCCTCCACCAATCATCTGTGCCCAACCTCACAATCCAAGATTTGAATTTGTGGCGCGATCACTTTCAATCTACAAGCCATGGGTCGCTCGCCGCAGCGCTGGAGTCAGCCTCCCCTTCACAACTTTCGGGCACTCACCTGCTGTTGCCGTCCATGACTGAGGAGCAGTACGTGACCCGGGGCCCTTCTGATGCCGCTCGCGTTCAGGACAGGCAGGGCTCGCCTTCCTTCGCGCCTTCTCGCGCGCCTGAACCCATGCTGCAATAAGAAAAGGATACCTTTGATCAGCGCGGGGGTTGCCGGGCCTGCAGCCATGCGAAGACGTGCACGATTCACAGTCGGATTGCTGGTTGCTGCACCCAATTGAGAGGTGTGTGTCTCAGGACTCTTACCCGCGCGGTCCTGGTCGATCTGGAAACAGCCCTTCGTTGGCCCATGGCTCTTGCAGTAGTATCTGACGCCCCCTCCCTCCTTGCTCCCGCGTAGCCCATACTCTGCGGGCGTGTCGCACTCGCGGCAATGAAGGGCATGTGGGTCTGAAAAAGAGATGAAGGCAAAGAGAATCAGGGCCAATCACGTACCCCACACACCTGTCTCGCAAGACCGGCCATGCCACCAAGTTTGGGTGCTGTACCAAGAAATGGCCTGTTGATATCTAAAGAAAGAATTGGCCAGAAGTTGGTACACTTCCCAGCCATGCCATCAGTTTTTGGCGCTGTACCAAAAAGTGACCGATATTCATCTCGAGAAAGAACGGGTCAGATCTGAATCCACTTCCTGCGCACGCCCAGGCATGCCATCAACTCTTGGTGCCATTGTTATGTTTGGAAATAAGTGGTCAAAACCTGGTACATTCGCAAGTCACGCCCAGCCATGACATCAAGTCTTGGCGCTGTACCAAGAAATGACCCATTGGTATCTTACAAAAGAATTGGTCAATGCTTGGTACTGCTCCCTACGCATGCCCAGTCCTGCCTTAAGCTTCTGGCGCCCTTCTTATATGGTCAAACCTGGTACAACTTCAATGCAGACCCAGCCATGCCACCAACTTCTGGCGCTGTACGTAGAAATGGCCCATTAGTATCTTTAGAAAGAATTGGCTAAAACTTGGTACACTTCCCAACGCACGCCCAGCCATGCTACTAAAGATCTGCTGCTCATTTGATGAAGGTTTATTGAACCGCTGTTCTGAAGGTCCAAAGAACACTCTTTTCCTGAAACGATGGTATGTCTAATGGCACAAATGTCCTGCTGATTACTGGAAATGAAAGTGAGCCTTGATACACCTCCTTGCAGGGGCAGCAATCAAAGATCTCCTGACCTTAAGAGTTGGCATTTGAAGAAGCAAACAATCCGCCTTTTGCTCACCGCGTTCCGCGACGCAATTTGAAACTTCTTCGAGAACCCGCGGATCCTGCCGCTTTGCTTTCTGGTCAGCAGCGCGGAAGCGCCGGCCTCGTGAAACCTTGCAAGCAGGCTGCCCTTCATCTTTCAATTGCTTTGACCTTTGGCACCGCCGGCGGCGAGGGGCAGGTGCGTCATCGCTCTGCGCATTGACAGCAGCGATCAAAATCTCTTGCCTCTCTGCACTGATTGTGATGCGCTCCCTATACTCTGCAGCACGCGCAAAGCGTGCAGCCTGGCAGACCCTGTGGTCAGACTTGGACCTGCCACAAGGCCGGCTTCTTGCCATTACTTATCACGCATTAGCTCCGCTGGTCACAGCTGCAAATACACATAAGAGACTGAATCAATTTGCCCACAGCAACTGAAGCACAAACCAATTCAGAGCAGACCCACAGCTTCGAAATTTCGAAGCAGAGCAAAGCAGATTAGTTGGCCCCAAAGATTGATTGGCCCAAAAACTCAAGCACCTCCGAAGACATGCTTTTGCTAGATTCAACTCCCGAGTATAGAAAACTGCCATGACGCAATCACTTACCCCAAGCCTAAACCACTTGGCGCTTGGTGCTTGCAGCACTTTCCTGCGGGCATGCTGGCAGTGTCAAGCTAGAGACTAGAAGGGGCAGCTTCCTCAGGCTCGAGGGAACAGTCCGGTCCGGAGTAATAATGGTGCCCTTACAACAGGTCCTGCCGCTCGAGGGGCTGATTTCCGGGTGCCCGGTAGGACCTAGACTCACGTACGGCAGCTGGGGAACTGCGTCACGGTCGGGCTTGAGACCATC